CATACAAACGAGGCAACACGAATACGCAACTTCCTAGCGGAAGAGCTACAGAAGTTTGAAACCATGAGCGGAGTGGCCAACGTTGCGGAACACAGGATCGTCATGACCGATGACCGCCCCATCAAGCAATGGTACTTTCCGCGCAACCCTGCGATGCAGGCCATCATTAACGCAGAGATCGAGGAGCTCCTTTCCAAGGGGTGCATCGAACCCACCTGTAGCCCACATAGGCTCGGAAGAAAAACGGTAAGTGGAGGTTGTGTGTGGATTATCGGCAACTGAATGCCCGACGCATACCCCTTGCCCAGAATACAACAGATACTGGACAAGTTACGTAGGGCTAAATATATCAGCAGCCTAAACCTCAAAAATGGCTACTGACAGATACCCCTGGAACCGAACAGTTGCCCATACACGGCCGTCACCGTGCCGGGGCGCGGATTATTTCAATGGCGCGTCATGCCGTTCGGCTTGCATCCCGCGCCAGCAACATTTCAGAGAGTACTCGACCACGTCATCGGCCCAGAAATGGAACCCCACGCTTTCGCCTACCTAGACGACATCATCGTCATAGGCTCCACCTTCGAGGAGCACGTACAAAACCTACGAGAAGTCCTACCACGACTACCACGCGCGAATCTCCGCATTAACCCCAAGAAGTGCGACTTCTTCAAGAAGTAACTCCGATACTTGGGTCATGTGGTCAGTGACAAGGGAATCCACACCGACCCCGAGAAGGTAGCCGAGATCCAAGAACTAAAACCACCGTCTAATGTGAAGGAAGTACGCCAGTACCTCGGGATAGCCTCGTGGTACCGTCGCTTCGTGCCCGATTTCGCCACGTTAAGCCAACCGCTAACTGCACTCCTGAAAAAGGTAAGCATTGGAAGTGGGGAGTCGAACAACAAGAGGCCTTCGACACCCTNAGATCCAAGAACTAAAACCACCGTCTAATGTGAAGGAAGTACGCCAGTACCTCGGGATAGCCTCGTGGTACCGTCGCTTCGTGCCCGATTTCGCCACGTTAAGCCAACCGCTAACTGCACTCCTGAAAAAGGTAAGCATTGGAAGTGGGGAGTCGAACAACAAGAGGCCTTCGACACCCTCAAGCGGAAGCTCACTGGGGCCCTCGTACTCGCCTGTCCGGTTTTTAACAAGAAATTCACCCTACAGACGGAGGCTAGTAACTGTGGCTTGGGAGCGGTATTGACACAAGAATTAGAAGGAGGCGAACGTGTAATATCTTATGCCAGCAGGTAATTGAGCAAAACGGAGGCCAACTACTTGCCCACAGAGAAGGAGTGTCTTGCCATCGTTTGGGGAATCCGGAAGATGAGGCCCTACTTAGAGGGATACAGGTTAAAGGTGATCACCGACCACATGTCGCTGAAGTGGCTGAACTCGATCGAGAGCCCTTCCGGCCGTATAGCGAGGTGGGCCCTGGAATTACAACAGCATACGTTTGATATAGAATATCGAAAAGGGAAGCTCAACCTGGTCGCGGACGCACTCTCACGGCAACCACTGGAGACTATCCGGCAAACGATAACGACGGAACCACGATGCAAGTGGTGGCATAAGCGCTTGGGCGAAGTACGCGCCAATCCGGAGAAATACGCGGACTATATGGTGCAGGACGAACAACTCTACCGCCATATCCCGTGCCGAAGCCAGGATGAGGAAGCAGTGCCCTGGAAGTTATGCGTACCAACCCCCCTTCGTCAGCGGATGTTACAGGAGAACCATGATGTACCCAGCGCCGGCCACATGGGCGTCCGGCGGACAGTGGCGCGGATTGCCAAACCGATATTATTGGCCAGGTATATCTCTGGATATCAGCCGCTACGTACGTCAATGCGATTCCTGCCAAAAATACAAGGAAGGACAACAAAACCAGCGGGAAAAATGCTGTCACAGGTGGCTTCGGAGCCCTTCGCAACGGTCTGCGCAGACTTCGTCGGACCCCTACTGCGATCTACACATGGCAACACCATGCTATTGGTATTCTTCGACCGCTTTAGCAAATGGGTGGAGCTAGTCCCAATGAGACGCGCCACGGCAGAAGGACGCCGCCGTGCGTTCAGAGAACGAATCCTAGCGAGATTTGGCGTTCCGAAGATACTCAACAACGGCGTCCAGTTCACCAGCACGCTGTGGCAACGCTACCTCCAAGAGATGGGAATACGAAAACAGTTAACCGCGCCAGGAGAACCCAACGGAACGCGCTAATTGGACGGTCAAGCGAATAATAGCCCAACTCACCAGATCGCAACACCAGCGGTGGGATGACCTCCTCCCCGAAATCGAGCTAGCCATAAATACCAGCGTCACCGCCTCTACGGGGTACAGCCCAGCTTTTCTCNAACCGCGCCAGGAGAACCCAACGGAACGCGCTAATTGGACGGTCAAGCGAATAATAGCCCAACTCACCAGATCGCAACACCAGCGGTGGGATGACCTCCTCCCCGAAATCGAGCTAGCCATAAATACCAGCGTCACCGCCTCTACGGGGTACAGCCCAGCTTTTCTCGTCCAAGGGCGTGAGCCACGACTACCAGGAGCACTCTTTGACGAGGTCAACATCGGAACGGGCACTATTCCCCCTACTGCCGAGGAGAAGTCCAGCAGGGTGCAGGAGACATTCAGGATTGTCCGGCAAAACATGGAGAGAGCGGCGACGGACTAGCGGAACTAGCCCTCGTCAAGGAACACCATCTGTCCAAGGCCGCGGACGGATTCACAGCGAAATTGGCCCCCAAATATGGCGGTCCCTTCAAAATCCTGAGATACATATTACCTGTGATCGTCCAGTTACGCAAGACCGATGGAGGAAAAGACGGCCAATATCGCGGAATTAAAAACATATACCAGCGAGGCCATACAAGAGCAAGGAGACAATTAAGAAAAGAAAAAAGGGGAAAGACCAAGTGAATATTTGAATTAATTAACCAATGCTATATTTATACGTCACTCCAACCAACCAATCAACAGCGAACCACCAATGAGAGAATACGAAGATTTCGGAAGCTTAGAAAAAAATTGTGAACCAAAAAAAATATGAGAGAAATGGACAGCAATGACAAATGGGCGAACAGCGTCAAACGAGTACGTGAACGGATGGAAGAGGAGGAGGCAAAACCAGGTGCTGGGGCCGCAGTCCACAGCCGGCGTACGAGACGCCGCGACCGTACGCGCCGACGCCACCGCGAGACACGCGGAGCTGCCGGGCACTGCCATCGCACGCCGCGTCGCAGCCACACGGGCGGTCGCCGTCCACGCCGCAGGCGGCACGACACGCCGACGTCGCTGCCCACGCGACTAGCGCACAAGCCAGACAGCGGATACCCGTTACCATTACAGGACCCACCGCACACATCAGCGTCAGTAGCACGCGCACCGTTACCATGTCTACGGCCACCGCGCCAGGACCCGCCGCATAGACCGCGTCAACAACGCATGCACCGTCACGACGCCTACGAACACTACATCGGCAGCCGCCGCACGCACGGCAGTTCGACGAGTCATTAACGCACAACAAGCCGCCAGGCGCACCGCCGCCTGAGCAGAAGCCGCCGCAAGGGCACACCCCATCAGGTGCCCCACACCAACGCCCGAGTGTATCCTCGGCAGGGTAACCTCCGATACACGCGACGTCCTCGTAATCACGGAAGATCAAGCCATCGCCACAGAGGGGAGCTCTACGACCAGCAGCTCAACAGGAAGCAGTGGGTCGAGCGAAAGCGCGACCAGCTCGGACGACAGCACGACGAGCAGCAGCTCAACAGGATGTAGTGGGTCGAACGAAAGCATCCAGTCACCCGCGACGCGAGTACAGTCGCCGGCCAGCCAACTTTCCTCAGGGGAGGAGACAACGCCGCGGGAGGAGCAAGGCCCGGTACTGACCTTTCCGCCAGGGCCAGGTGGCATCACACTGTACCCGGGGGATCTGCGATCGTTAGAAGGAACGCGATGGATGACGGATGCGGTGATGGATGCATGGGCGAGAGGGCTAGAGGCCGAGCTGGGGTCACGGGCCACTATACTCAGCCCTTTTGTGGTATTGCAACTAATGCAACAGGTGAATCCGGAAGAGAATTATCGGCGCAACCATCGCTGGTTACGAAGGATGGACCTGTTCGGCAAGAGGACGGTCCTAGCGCCCCACAACACGGCGGGACACTGGTACCTACTGGTCCTTGCGAACCGGGAGACCACCCACCATCTCGATATGGAATGCTGGAAAGAACGCTACCTGTTGACCGTGAATTCTAGGGTGAAGGGCAGAGTCCTCCATGCAACAGCAACATGGAAAGAGTTCCTACAATGGGAATATACCCAGAGGTACGGCGGGGTGGGCTTCGAGGTTCAAGAAGTCCACCCGAAGGGCCGAAGGGACCGCAACAAGAAAACGATGGGTATTGCGGCGTGTATACCCTAGAGACGATCGAAAGGGTCATGCGCTTCGTCGGACAAGACAAAGGTGCACCAGGGTACATCGCCGAGCCGTTCACGGCCGGTATCGCGGCCCTGAAGCGGGTGCTATTACAACGACTATTGTATTGTAGTCCATAGGCATATTAAACAGGTAATAGCAGTAGAGCAAACACACCCTGTCATGTATTTGTAGAAGCTTGAAAAACCTAGAATGTCAAAACAGAAAGAAATGTAAACACGTTCGACCAATCAAAAAGCAAGCAAAAAGAATGCTAATGTATGTGTATATGAATGTATATTTGAGTGCAGCAAAGTTTGACAGTTCAGATTTTTAACGAAATAGAAAAAAATCTAAAGTGCAGTCTTGCTACTTCTATGGGCCTTGGCATTGTCGAAGCCATATTATGTTTTGAAGCTATTCTATCAACGAGTGTTTGGGAGAATATATACAAACATAACAAAAACGCGCGCCACAGGTTTTCCGACATTCTCCCGAGCTTAAGCCTTTGGCCCGAGTGCTCAGAAATATCGACTTTTTTATTTTTAAATAAATAAGACGTTGACATTATTATTAATAAAATAATTTGCATTTTATTTTAATTGATAATTTTTGTTTTCCTTTACATAATCACTTCCTTTACATGCTCACGTATTAGCGATATAAATACATACATATTTAGTTAATTGGCTTATTTACAACTTAGTAAACAAATCTGCAATGCAATGCTATGCAATGTGCTATCTAAACAAATTGACCATTTTAAATTTTTTCCCAATTGCAATTGCATAAGTTGTTGTATTTATTTTTAAGTGGCTTTTATTGCTTCGAGACTAGTCCACGTACATAGTAAATATGCATATAGATATCTACATAAGTAAATGGTAGTAGCAGTAGAATGATAGTTAACATTTTTCGAAAACTTATGAAATTTTAAAAACACTACATATACATACATACATATAACAATAATAACACATTTGCATGACAATACAGTGCAGTGGTGAAGAGTATAAAATAATGTACGGACAAAAACATAAATATTTACGCATGTCTAATATATTTTCTTTGATAAATCAATCAGCAAAAATATTGTATGTACTAAAATACTTAATACTCTTTTGATCAAATTAATAATCAAATCAATCTTCTGTCAACATAATATATAATTAAAAAAAAAGTAAATACTTTAACAATTTTGAAGAGGTGCTTTTCCTTCCGCCGCTGGTGGCGCAATTAAGTTAACATTTATTTCTTTTAACTAAAAAAAATATTTTTACATTCGAACTTTTTTTTCTAAATATTACAATTCAGCCCAAGACCAAGTTCTTTTTTTCGTTTTGCAGAAAATAGTTTTGTTTTTATTGGCGGACCAGCTGTTACCCTTCCATCGGTACGAATTCAATGAGAAATGCATAATGCTAGTAGCTAGCGCTTAGCATTTACCGCCTTAATCAATATCACTTTCCTATTTCTAATTCAGTTAACATTTAATTTCAGCGTAAAATAAAGATAGTTTAGTCTGCGATTGCTGTGTAAGGTAAGCTGCTGTGTTTTGGCTTCGTTTTATTGATAAACACTTTGATGGCACCATTAAAGTCGGCGCTAACCATTACATAGCCACAACCTTTTTTATGTTGTTCGGCAAGGGGATCCGGCTAGAAGAAAAATCTATGGTTAGCTCGAAATAGTAAATTGAGTGACATAGAACTACGTACTTTTGAACTAAATAAATATGATAACTTTATTATGAAGCCATGGGAATCAGAGTAGTACATTTTTTTTAATAATGGGAAGCAATATTCTTATAATATTATACCTGCGATATTTATTGTATGATAACGTTCAATGATTTTGTATATATGCTTTTTTCGTTCTCAGTGCCTCATATGGAGGCTTTACAGTTTTAAGCTATTACATTACCAACCTTTTCGCTGGGTCCAATTTCGTCAGGCTCCGATTTTATGATAGCCTCTGGATGTGGTGCAAAAATGGCACAAGTTACAGTGGCATTGTGCGCTTTAATGCCTTCCCAGAAATCGCTGCGATCCCGACGAACCTAAAACAAAAAAAAACCAATAAGATTGAGCCTGCAAACATAAGCTCTTCAAAGAACGGCGAATTTTGCTGAGTGTTTAAGAGCTTATCCTCTACGTACTAGGAAGCGGGGCCGAGCCGAGCGAATCCGTTCCGAGCGGAGCGAAGCTTTAAAATTGCTATAGCTATATGAAAGTGTTCATACAGGAAGCTTTTTGGCGCTGGATACATAGCATTTTTCATTTGGAGTTTTCTATTTGATTTTTCCAGGGACCGAAAACAAAAGGTATGAACGAAACTAAATGTAGTTCTCGTAGTTTTGTTCACAAGAACTCTTAGAAACCAAAACTAAAATGAGAATAAAACTTTCGGGAGTGTTTTCACAATGGCGAAACTGTCGGCAACGTTCTCAACGGAAATAAATACGAACACGACTACGGAGAACGTTCCCAAAGAGAACAAAATGCGAACAATACTTGCGGAAACATTTTTAACAGAACTAAATGGAAAGAAAAGTCCCAGGTATGTTCTCTTAAAGAACAAATTGGGAACAAAAGTTGTATGAACGTTCTGAGAGAGATCGAAACGGGAACAAATATTCTCCGAACAACGTTTTACATACATACGTTTTACTACATATTACCAAGAACAAACTTTTACTATTGGGCTGCTTGAGTTTAAAATGTGTGAATAATAAAATTAATTCGCCGAGAACCACTGTCGTAACTTTCTTGAGTGATAGGAACACTGATTGTACTCATTATCCATAAGTACATACATACGTATATTCATATGTAGTTTAATTAATATATCACGCTTGCTTCTTTCCCAAAATTGTGTTCTTATTTGATCCTCCTTGAAAACATTATCGATGCTTTCGGCCGCATTACCTTGAGAGCTTTGTTCTCATTTTGTTCTTTTTAAGAACGCTCCAAGAGTTTTGTTCCCATTTAAAACTGTACTAAACACTTTTATTCCTGCTTGGTTCTTTTGTGGGAACGATCCCAAAGCGGAACTTAATGTCGCTGTTGCGAATAAAAATTCTAAATAATGAATAAAGTACTTTTGTGAGAAACCCATTTAAGCAAATTCAACAAATATTTTAACCGCCTTTCGTTGAGGGTGAGTTTTATGATATCTTTACAGCCGATTCCATGCGAAAAGCTTCCTTCTTTCTCGTTCAGTAAGAAATCCTGTAGCTTTGCTTGCTTCACTTGTCGCCGCTCGACTTTTTGCATACGTGCCCCAATACCGCTCCGCACGGCAGACTGTTGGTTTTTAGAAACTTTTTCATGGCGAAAATGCAATCGGGGGCTTGCTTTTTTCCCTATCAAAGGGCGAGCGCTACTAAAAACACTTTCGCTCCCGGCAGGTGGCACTGTTGTCGACTTTGTTATTATTCGGAACACACGTACCTACCTACCTATATTAATCACATGTGCATTTTTAGGCAGGCGAATCGAGATGATTCTATGAGCATAGATTTACGGAATATATATGAATATTTTTACCGAAATACATATATTATTTAAAAGTGTTCTAATAGATAGCTCTGGACTAGAAACATATAAGAAATTAATTTACCAGTAGATGATGTTCAAATTCAGAGAACTAGCAACTTTTTTGAAAATAATTTGCATGCGATTTCCACCAAACACTATGAGTAACACCACGGGGTTGTTGTAGCCGCTACAACAACAACAACAGTAACTCCACGTGGAGCGAAGCGAACCGATTTCTACTATATTACGTACTATACACCTTTTCAAAACCCCCCTACTCACCGAGCTCAATTTGGAGTAGTCGTGATTTGTTTTCCAAATATAGATGCATTGATTTTCCGATCCAGCAATTATGTACTTTCCGTCGTGACTAAAAGATGCTTTGATTTGCGAGGATACATTTAAGTAGCCTTTGTATTTGCAAGATAAATTCAAGTCACGCAAATCATACAAACGCACGCGACTATCATTAGAGGTTACAAGTATCTTATCCTCCCCAGGCATTGGCTCAATGCCACTTATTTTACGCCCAATACGATTTTTACCACGCGTTGAACGCACATGTATCTGCGTGTGGTATTTCAACTGATCTGTGTTGTAGAAAATGCATCGACCATCGTACGAACCAACTACTGCAAATTGTCCGTTTTGACAGAAGTTTGCTGCTGTAATTAGTTTTGTCTGCCCGTCGACTTCATTCCAGAGTGCCACCTTCTTGTCTGGAATATTCCACAAACGCAGTTTACCATCCAAACTGCCACTTAAGAAGTAACGATCGTCGCGTGGATGAAAAGCGATTGCTGTGACAAAGTCAATATGTTGAAAGCAGCAGAGGCACTCCTTGCGCGATATATGCCACAAACGTACAGTCTTATCCATAGAACTGGAAAGTATGAAATAATTCTTCGACCAAGAGACGTCCAGCAGATCCGACGTATGTCCAATGTAAGTGCAGAACGCTTTCGGCATAAATGGGCCGGTGCATTTTTCAGCGGCGGCCGCCATGGCGATCGCCTCCTCCGAGTGTTGGGACACGAGGGACTCTTGTGAGGGTGTAGGAGATGATTTCTGATCCGCATTGTATTTTGTGCGCATATCCTGAGAAAGAATAAGAACAATTCGAATAACTTATCTCAATAAAATGCTTGTGTACAATGGCGAAGTACGCACCTGAAAGAACGGATACGCATCTTTTAATACCCAAATACGTAGTAGTTTGTCTTGGCCAGCAGTGGCTAGTAGACGGCCACATGAGCTAAATTTCATACACCATACCGCGCCAGTGTGTTCGCCATACAAATCCTAACGAAAAGCAAAAATTATTTCAATTTACATACAAAAATCAACCACAACTTTTATTTTTTACTTTTTTTTTTGTTAGTTAGCTACCTGAACGTGTTGCAATTTGGTAAATTCATATGGTCCCTTATTGGTTGAAGAGGCTTTAATTTTTATATTCGCTTCGGGATTCATGACATCCGTTATGTCGGCAACATCCTCTTTGTGTCGTGCATGGGACACTTCGGATGCCAGCGATTTCGCCTTGTCGACCGTTTTACGCACTGTGGAGCCAAGAAAACGTTTAAAGCGTGCTGTCTTTTTTTTTAAACGACTTCCATCATCCGCCTCGCATTCTTCCTCATCCGGTGGCTGACCCTCGCTGCTCGGCGGTATGCCGATCACGCTCTCTTCGTCTGATTCTTTTGGGTTCACCTCCAGATGCGAGGTGAGTTTCAGTATGTGCAGCGACAATGGATTCCAACCTTCGGGAACTGGTGGAGAGCGAACCTCAGACAACGTCATATTCTCGCCAGTATCTAAATTTTTGACGGGAACCTGTTTGAGTATTTCGAAATCGGTTAATTGTTTGCCAGAACTAGTGCGCGTACGAACATAGATGTTCATCTGCTTGAGAACATCCTCATCGCCAGCCGATTTGCGTCGTTCCTTGTCACTACTCGAGCGGTAAACCAGCGATGGATATCTATGAAGGTAAGAAACAAGAAATCAGTTTAAAATATATATACTACATATGCATGTACAGATTAGAAACGTTTAACAATTAGAAATGAAATGACGTATTTTGCAAGCAATCTAAATGAACTTTAGCAAAGTCTAATTGCTGCACTCGCTTAAAAAAGAACAAATACATATTTATGTTAGTACATGTAGCTACACAATAATACGCTTAGGTAATTTGGAGAAAAATGTGTTAATTTAGTAGTATAAAAAGGGTGCCTTGTATGTACATTTAAGTGTTAAATGAATTTTGAGCCATAAATTTATCTAAAAAAATTATTTTAAGTAATTGAAACACTAACTTGATTTTCAAGTGCCACGGCCCTTTCAGTGTGGTCAATTTGTATATTATGAATATATCAAAAGGATTGCTGTAAGAATTTGAGAATTTACTAAAGTTCATTTAAATTATTTCACTTTGGTTAGTAAAAATAAACGTTTTAAGTGCACACACAGCTAATATGATGAAGCATATATTTCACAGGTATCAATGCATGAGAATTTAATTCTTTAGAGCGTAATAAAAAGTTAAAAGGAAGGAATTGAAGTCAAACTATAGTCTTCTTTTATCCGATTTAAAACCAGGGTTCGAATCGTCCCATACGATATCGTATTACTCGTCATGTAAAAAACACGTTTTTCGGATTATGTTATACATGAACGTACTCTTTATACCATTTAGCTTATACCACTAACACCTCACGTAATTTTCTTTCGTATGGTTATTGATCCGTGAAAGGATCTCGATTCGAGCCCAGTTATTTTATTACTGAAACGCGCTTGACTTTTGCATACGCTCATGCAATTTTGACTATCACAAGCTCTTGAAATATCCTCCAATATATTATCATTAGTTAAGGGCCGTTTTCACAAGTTATATTTTTAATTTTATTTTTGTCATTTAAACTCATTTTTTGAGAACAAAATTAATCAAGCTCCCGTAAATTTTTAGTCTAAATATCTTTAATTGAGTTTTTTTTTAATTTTTCCATTATCTTATGTAATTTTAGATAATTCTTTTTGGTGCAGTTTTATATTTTTCACTTATTTTATTACATACAAAATATACTTGTATGCTTAAAAAAAAAAACACATTTCAATGCGTTACCTTGTGCCGCTACCCAAACTATTCGAACCAGTACCAGCCAAAATAGGACGGGCCCCTTCATCCATCAGAATTTGTTCAATACGTTTGATCTCCTCCTGTGTTGGACCTTCAGCTTTGTTGCATGCTTCGTCACGTGGCTTAACAACACAACCACCTTGTGTGGCTTTATACAGATTGAGGCCTTGTGTAGGATCAATAGAACTATAAATAAAACCAGCAGCATAACTTATTTTAATGTATAACTTTTGTCTAGGTTTACTCTTAACATTGAATACTTACAAGTACCTTACACGACCAGGTGCAGAATTACTTTTTGCTGAATTCGATGGGCTGGGTTTCGAGTAGACCGATGTGGAACTATTGCCCAATGAATGCGAGATGCGATTTATAGAACCGCCCACAGTGGCTGTAGTAACAGGACGTGCATTGCAGGTGGATGTTTGCGCCAACGATGCAATTGATGCAGGTACTGCTCCCGAAGATGGGGTCGTTGTCATAGATGCTCCTAATGGTATATTGGATATGCCCATTGCAAGCGAATTAATACCAATGCTATGCGTTCGGGTACCAACTGCCGCCATATGTATTGATGTGCTGTTTATTGTAGCCGTAGCTATTGGTGCTATGCCACTAGTAGCGTTTGAACTTGTCATAGAACTTGTCTCCTGCCAAGAACGTTCAATTTCTTCGGCAATATCATCGCGCAATTTCTGCTGCTGAACATCGAGTACACTTTTTACTGAACGAGTATCACTATCAGTGTCTTCAGTGTCCGGAGCACCTGACATCTGCATCCCCTCATTTATACTGAATTGATCCGATGAGCTGGTTGACTTACGTGACTTTTTCTTGCGCCGTGGTGGCGCAATGGGTCCACTCGAAGTGATGGAATCTGTTGTTTTCGAGTGTGCCAACTTGGTGCTCGCAATCACATCAGGTTCCTGAAATATCATCTTGTTTTCAGGCATTGCTGCCGGAGCTGCTGTCGCGGCAGCTGCAGTAGCAGCAGCTCCAATAGTAGAGCTGGAAGTGTGATTATGTGATGGGGATGATGATGGTGTTTTTGTATTTTTTACAGAGCTGCGTGATGCATTACTGCCTCGTGGTGCTGTAGCTGCAGCAGCGGCTGCTGCTGCCGCAGCATTCTGTTGTTCAACCAACACTGCTAAATTGTTACTAGTGGATGGCACCATAACAGCCAGGTTTTGCTGTAGTTGCTGTTGCTGTTGTTGTTGTTGTTGCTGCAAATGTTGCAAATACATTTGCTGCTGCTGTTGTTGCTGTTGCATTTGATGGGAATTGGCAGATGATGTCGAATGGGCCGCCAACGATTCCCTATCGATGCTCAAAGCTTGAATAGAAAAAGTAAAATTGAATAAGAATTTATTGGAATATATTTTAAAAGGGAGCTGTCATACCTGAAGGATCGATATTTCCTGCCAATATTCGCCCAACACGTCCCAACGATGTCATACTCTGTATGCTCATTGTATCGTTCTCTATCACCTTAAAGGGGTGTGTCGTACGATTAGCGAAAACACCGTCAGTAGAACTGTTCTGTATTTATACAAAAGTATAAAGAAGGATAGTTTTATTTAATAATGTATATGCATATAAACTGGAATTATTGCTGAACATATAATTTGGTTTTAATTAGTGTACCCAACATTATTAGTTTATTGCGAATATTAAACGAATTAGTGATAAAACATCGTTTTAGTAGGGAAAGATGGGTACATATTTCAGATATTACATTTATTTGCATGTATGAAGTAACAATAATAAAGTAGGTGAAAGGAAAGCAATTTGTGATAATACCTGAGAATCAGGTGTGAGTGTGTTTCCGGGATTATCATCTTCATCATTTTGCATGCATTGACGCAACTCGTGAAAGCGCTGCCTACCAAACTACGAAACGAATTTGGTTTTTGTTTATTTGTTTCATAATTTTCGACATAGAATATGGAAGTAAATAAAAGTCAGTTTAAATAAACATTTAATTAACTTAAGCAACTTAAATTTAAATACGATATGTATGTATCTATGCGCTTCAGCGTTGTTAAAACTAACTATGTTTGTAAACTAGAAATCCATTTAATTACAAAAATCAAATAACCAAAACAAATAAATTTATAAAGATAAACTAAACAATCATCAAGCGAACTTTAAATGCCTGCAACCATGCAACTTTAATATTTAACCCACATTTATAACAACGCAGACTATTATTGATTGCATCTTCTAAAGAGGCACAACTCAAAAATCAGATCCGAAAATATAACTGCTTGTGGATCGTTCAGATTCAATGCAATTAATACAAAAACAGTTATAATAGTAGTTGCCTACAAATTGATTTATGCTAAAAAATCAACCTAAATTTTGTTTGAGTTGTGCCCCTTTTGAAGATCGTGGGCGATATGTACATACGTAATTGCTTTCATAAATGGTCTACTCTGTATCGGATTCGAATACTTTGTACTATGAATTTGTATTAATCCTTGTCGCCTTTCGAATCGCAATACAGTTAACCCCATGTACATATATGTTACGCCCGAAATACATAGAAAATATCATCGGCCAGAATTTGATCAGAAAAATATGCGGGCCGAAAGAACTGATCAAGTGATACAAAACCCTTAAAGGATTTCGCAAAGTTATCACCAGGGAACGGATTTTATGGAAATTGCCTTTTTTTCTGCTAAAGAGATAGAGTATATTCGATTAAGAATGTCCACGATTTAGCTTTCCCTGATTCCATATATACACATTTGAAGTTGCCTTGTTTTTTGCCTTTTTTAAGATATTTGCCTTTTCTACCTTTAAAAAAGTGATTATAGCATTTACAATTTTTTTTTTAAGATTAAAAAATATACACATTGCCCATGCGGCTTATAGAAGCGCAGAGATATCTTGCCAAATTGGTGTTGGTAAAATTCAAAGCCTTTTTCTCAGCTAACGTAGGCTTGAAGACAATAAGGGGTGTGGATAAAATTGTAAAGGGCGAGGAAAACGTCCTTATTTCTGATAATATGAACGTTTCAAACGTTTCATATTTAAATTGAGCTCCACTTGTATCAACTTACGTCGAGCGCACATTTATTACATTCAAGGCTTTTCTTCGCGAAAATCTAATGAAAATGCTGCCAGAAAACTTCAAAATGCATCTTATGGTTCAATGTTACTATAACTATACAGATTAAAGTTTTATGAGTGAGAAACTCGAAAGGATGAAATAGTCAAAGATTCAAAGTACAAATTTTTCATATAATGAAACTAGTTCATGGTTTTTCTCTTTTTACTTGTAATATAAGCATTTCTAAAATAAATAAATTTTTTGATTGTTCTTCTTATTTTCTGTCTTTTTTTATTGCCTTATGTTGCTTTTTTTTGCAATACCTTTTTTTGCCTTTTTCGCTATTTTGTTTTGCCTTTTTTTGCCTTTTTTGCAATACCTAGTGCCTTTTCCTGCCTTTTTCGCTATTTTATCTATTTCGTTACTTTATTTTGCCTTTTTTATAGGTTTTTAGGTCCTAAAAATCCGTTCCCTGGTTATCACGCGCTTTTAGCTCTTGCAGCGCATTTAAAAAATTAAAATTCTCATTACTAGAGTGATATTTGATATTCTAAGAGGCCTACCCAAAAAGGGCTGAACAAAGTGCTTTCTTGCATTGCCTTCTAGAAGAACTTTTCCTTTAAAACAGAGCACATACCTCAAGGAAACTTGGTATATGAGCTATCCCTGATGCAAGGTAGGTTATTATTGGTATTTGAATGCATACCTCCCTGGCAATCCGCCTTCAGTATATTCTTTGATTTCACGAAAAATCGGACTATGGTGGATTCTCTGATGGCCCCCAATTTCTTCGAAACTTCATAGATATATTTCTTTTGGTAACATTGAAAAAATCAAATATTTGACATTTTTAAATCAGACTCTAAATTACGATTACATTTGAAATAACGGTACATTCAAACAATCAAACATTTGACATTTTTAAATCAGACTCTAAATAATGATTACCTTTGATATAACGGTAGTTTTGGAAGACACAGACCGCCAAAAAGGCGTAAGCGACATTTTTTTCGAAATTTAATTTTTCATGCAGAAATACATCTACATACATACATACAGTTACTCCCAAAACTGAGTGTACGACTCTTTTTTTGTTAATATTCGCAATGTTTTGCATGCCAAAATCTTTTTGTTAATTTTGTATTAAAATATGGGTTATGTTTTAGCAAACCACATTTAAATCCAAGAATGAAACAGTGTACGAAAATTAGGAAAAATCTGCAAAGTTTCAGCGAAATCGCGAACTTTTTAATAAGAATTCAGGTATGCAGTTTTATAGCCCATTAAATTTTAATATAATAATGTGCAAATTTCAAATGTCTAAAAATTCGCCGTAATTTTTGAGAATTTTTTTGCTGACTGTCCTTCAGAATAGGATTTAAATGGGGTTTTCTAAAATATAAGCCATATTTTAATACAAATAATATAATTTTTAAGCAAAAAACAACCGACTTCAAAACATATAAAAATTTAAGATTATCGTTAATTTCTTCACGATCCAATTATCGGACGAACTGATAACCTCCTCTTTTTTTTGAAGTCGGTCAATTAACAAAAAGATTTTAGCATATAAAACATTGCGAGTACTAACAAATAAGAGCCATCGCTCAATTTTGTGAGTAACTGCAGATACTCTAGGAACATTTCTGCATCAAAAACAAATTTTGAAGAAGAAAATGTCACTTACGTCTTTTTGCGGTTAGGACTCCATAAAATATTTAAAGAAATACATACATACTTGTGTTGAGGAAAAACCTTAGATTTAAAAAAATATATAGTTTTGGCGTTGTTGTTGCAGAGGCTACAACAACCCCGTTCAGATCGGGTAGTCCCTCAATCGTTGTCGTCAAGCTCCACTAACGAAATACCCAGGAAGCGTGCAGCGTGCGTTGGGCTATTGTGGTTCGAGTCTCCCGAGGCAGACGAAGCCCTGCCTCGTTCACGTCTGGTGGTTGTGTGCCCAGAACCATGGAAGCTGCTGGTTTCTGCTGGAAAAATTTTTGCCAACAGCAATTTGCCAACAGGAAAACAGCTGATCAAAAACAGCTGATTGACATTTACGCAAATCACAAAATTGAATTTGTTGGATTGGAAGATAAAAATTACAAAATGCGACTAATTAAACTTGTAAGAAATAAGTAGTTATTTGTTTTATCAATAAACTGTGTCAGTATAACACTTTGCGATGACTTTTCGTACGTTTTAAATTTTACACTTTTGTATGTAAACAAAAATTATATCAGCTGTTCGTCTAACTTGCAAGTTTCTGCAAATTTTCTGTTCGCGTACTATTTCGGATATTTCTCTCTTGTGAGAGAACAGATGACATTTCGCCGGAATTTGGCAGTTGGTTGGTTTCTGCTGGAGATTTTAAACGAACGCACCTAATGTTTGCTAATTCCTGTTCGCGCAAAACTTAGTAAGTTTCTCTCTTTGGGAGAGTAAGGTACCTCATTCTCTAAATTTTGTTACTGGCTAATTCTTACTGGCAGTTGCATAGCCTCCTATTATTACACCATGAGCAGAAGTCATCAATTCCATTCCCAGACACCATTATCAAAAAATCGTCAGCATAAGAGACAATCGAAACTCCGGTGTAAATGAAACTTCGGTGAAATGTAAAAGTTAAACAGTAGTAGGGAAAGGACACCTCCCTGTGGGACCCCCTGAAGCTACGGACAGTACAGAACACCGCACTCAGGGCAGCGACCGGATGCCTCCTGATGTCACCCGAACAGCACCTCCATGACGAGGCGAAAATGCTCCCAATTAGGGAACACAACACGATGCTCTGCAAGCAGTTTCTTACTGGGAGCCACAGACGTGGTCACCCAAACAGACAGCTGCTTGCAGAGGAGCCCTCGCCTAGACACGTCAGGAGGCATCTATATGAACTGACGGACGAGGTCCAGAGGTTCATTAAGCAGCCTCTGGACACGTCAGGCCCTGAACGGCATTCACAGGGACTCAGTCTCGAGTTATGTAGACTCTAGACCTGTCAATGCCGTTCTAGGCACACAAACCGGACATTGACGCGACGGAGCTTCATCTGCCTCGGGAGACAAGAACAAAAATAGCCCAACTTCGCTCTGGCTACTGCAGCAGGCTGAACTCTTGCCTGAGTAGGTTAAATGCGGATGTGCCGAATGAATGTCCGGCATGCGGAGAGACCCCTGACGACTCGAAACATCTCTTCGCATGCCCGGAAAACCCTACAACCCTAACGGCGTTGTCCCTGGGGACCGACCCCTTAGAGGCTGCACGCTTCTTGGGGCTGCCGTTAGTACCAACCGATCTGGGCGGGGTTATTGTAGCCGCTACAACAACAACAACAACAACCCCCTGTTTTATTTTCCTAGGTTTGCTCGATTTGTCTCTAAAGATTACTGACCAGTGTCGACCACTCAGATAATTCGCCGACCACCGGCCTCTATGTCTTCTAGTAGCGTGGAGTGACTGACGGTGTCAAACGCCTTGGACGGGTTCAACGCTACTAGAATTGAGCTCTCACAGGTGCGGTTTCGGTCAAGGCCCCGAGTTATCTGTGTGCCTAAAGTGTTAAAGCGATCTAACCCTGTTAAGGACGGCAAAATCACCCTCCACCCCTAGTATTGGCGTTTTGTTGTCGTTGCTCTAGCGGTTACTTATTGGAAAGAAAGCGGACGAGGGGTATATGAAGTTCGGTTTCGCCCAGACTTCTATACTTGTTTCTACATATACATTTTAAGTAAGTCATTTCTAATACCAGATTGCAGTAAATAAATATAACCGCATGAACTATTTTATCGAACACAATCATCTATATTAGCAAACGTTGAATACGTAATATGTATAAGATATCTTATCTAGATGCAAGGAAACCATTATTGTAGTTATGGCAGCTATGTTTTCTGCAATATGAATGTACACACATACACAAGATTGATAAAACAATCATTTCTGTAAATCTTGGCACATACGTACAGACATATCATCGTTTTAAAGTACAAAATCGCGTATCGTCATTCTGCTAAACCGCGTAACTGACATTTGCTGCCAAAAATTGGATTTGCTCACAGAAGCTCTTGGCTCAATCCTTATCCATTCGTCCTGAAACATACTAGCCAGAAATGCGAATGCTTTATAAAAAAGAAAACCATTTTGAAATATGAGTGTTTTTACTCTGTAGTAAAGAATTTATGAAACCTCAAATACGCGGTTTTGCATTATCTTGATACGCGATTTTGCATTTTGTTGATACACGGTTTTGTACTTTAAACGACGATATGTATGTGTTTTATACATATAAGAGATAAAATTACCGGCCGAGTCTTTACGTGGGTATTTAGGTTAATACAATGTAAACTGTAGGTTCATACGTATGTTTAGCGTGAAGATTGAAAAAATAAATGCCTATGTATGTAAACATATGTATATGGGTAATATCTATTAAACCATCCATAAATTTGGTGTAAACTGAGCAGTTCTAATTTTAAACCAAAATTATGCAGAGTTAACTTAATTAAATTAAGTTAAATTACCGACCGACTATTGACGTGGGTATTTGGGTTAATATAATGTAAACTGTAGGTTCATACGTATGTTTAGTGTAAAGATTAAATAAATAAATGCCTATGTATGTAAACATAACATGCATTCGATAAATTTGGTGTAAACTGAGCAGTTCTAATTTTAAACCAAAATTATGCAGAGTAAATTGTGAACACCTGCGGCTTATTAAGCAAGTGTACTTAATAGTAATGTAAGTATACTAATTTCCCAAAAAAAAAGTTAGCGAGATTTTTTTTTTTAATTTTCTTTTTCATGAAGGATTGCTTCTATATGCTCTACGCGCATTTGTACATATGTATGTACATAGCTAACAGCAAGTCTCCTAAAAAGGTTTTGAAGTGAAATCGAAAGCGTTTGAGCGAACAACTGATTTACATACTAATATTAATATTTAGTTAATGGACTTTCTCGTAGAAGTTAGGCGCAAATACTTTAAAAAATTTTGTTGTTTATTACAAAAACCACTTAATATACTATTAAACAGGTCAATAAACTTCCGTGCAAACAGCTACATATAAATTTAATTATGATTATAGTGCCATAAATTATAAAACATTAACGAAATGTTAGATAGAATTTTAGCTACTTTCTTACCTGGACAGGTTTCGGTTCGACAAANGTTTACTTTCAAATTTGAGTCTCCGTGCAAAACGAAATCGATTGGTACGCTTCCCTTAGTTGTAGAACATTTCCTTCATAGTGAATTTTTCCATGACAGTTTTCATCAATAACTGTTATGTTCGGTCCCTGCTTTTCGCTCGTTTTCCAGTGAAACAAGATGGCGTAGAACCCGCTAAAAAAATCTACTTTTTTCACTCTCTTGTTCTTACGTCATCTTGTGTCTTTCGTTCATGCGGGGCTACCTCCGAACGTGTACGTAACGTAGCGTAGAAATGCATAGAAAAAAAGTTTTCTGATGATTGAGAGAGAAGCCACGTCTACGTCACGCAAGAAGTCGCCGATAGCAGCAGAATTCGTGAGGGTAAAGGCTCTGGTATGCATACTTGGCAGTGCATGCATTGCTATACCATTTTTACGTAGAAATCAAAAATCAACAGACTTCTACGCATGTAATGCCATGAACGAAAGACACAAGATGACGTAAGAACAATTGAGTGAAAAAAGTAGATTTTTTTTTTTGCGGGTTCTACGCCATCTTGTTTTACTGGAAAACGAGCGAAAAGTAAACAAAGCATAGAACACAAGGAAAACCAAAATTAGCCAAAATTATTGTCAGCCACTTTAAACGCACAATTTAGGTAAAATGAAGCAACAAAATGCTTTAAAATGTGTTGTCATGTTGAATTAACTCTTCTTTACTTGAATAAAAGTGTAAAATAGTGGTGCTTGTGATGTAAACAAACGCTCAGCTGACGAACCCGCTTTCGCAAACTTTTTTCTCAAAACCAGTTACAAATACAACGTCGCGTTCTTACGTGATCTTGTATTTTTGGTTCATGATGTAATGCTGTGCATTGGGTAACCGCTTACACGCGAAGCTCATTTAACAGATTCCTTATGTGACAACTCTGAGGCAATGCCAAGTATGCACAACAGAGTCTTTAATTTTGGAGGGACGGCATCGTAGAGTTGACAGCGGAGAGCGGCGAATAAAACCACATACTATTTCTGGGAGTTAGGGAACGCAACTATTAATTCTTGATGGAATCCATGAACCAAAAATACAAGATCACGTAAGAACCCGACGTTGTATTTGTAACTGGTTTTGAGAAAA